TGCTAGAGCTGGTCCTTACCACTTCGATCCTACCGATGACTGCCCCAAATAATACAATATACATAAAAAACCTTAATGATGGAATCAATAAACAGGAGCTCCGATCACAACTATATGCTCTTTTCCTCCCTTACGGTCAGGTCCTCGATGTCATTGCTCTCAAAACACCAAAAATGAGGGGTCAAGCCTTTGTCGTATTCTCAGATCTAGTATCTGCCACCTCTGCTCTTCGTGCATGGGATGGGGAATTATTCTATGACAAACCAATGGTGAGTACAACACCAAGCATTATCGTCAAAATATACTCAAAGTGCCCTTGGCGTCTTATAGCGGATAGAATTTGCGAAAACCAAGTCTTGGGCTACGTTAAAAATGGAGGATCCCAATTTTGTACCTGGTATTGGAACTACCAATGTCCCCGCTCCTCCCAAAGGCGAGAAAAGGCCACGAGAAGCAGATGACACAGACGAGAAGACAGCCAAGAAGGAAAAAAGGGCCCAAGAACCTGCTGAGGAAGAAATGGAGATCGAGGACGACGACTAGAGTATCGAACTACCTCGGGTTTAATTGGCTTTGAAAATACACTCGGTTTGACAATTATATGTTTCCAAGAGACATATTGAACTGGTCCTCATACCAAGTCATATTCAGAAAAAAGCCAATTGGCTTCAAGATGTATAGACATGCACTATCCCCTGCTGTACCCTAGATCTGCATCACTGCATGACTCTTCCATCAATATCATGTAGTCCAAAAACTGATTAGCTTCTCTGGGTGATATAGTAAATCTAAAAGTCTGAATGGCGAGCTGGCGAATAGATTGCATGCAACTCAAGAGAAACACAGTTTTGGAGAGAATTTCGGATGTATTCCACGATATTCCAAGCAAAAGCAAATATGAAATCGATCATTGTACAATAGCCAACGGAGGCATACTGGTATGAGGAGGGGGACACTAGATGAAGAGAAAAAGTAGGCACGACAGTGAGACAGAGTAACCGAGGACCACATTAAAACAACAAGGAGATTGAGATAATTGATCAGAGACTGTTTAACGAGACAGAGAGCGGTCAACGGTTCGACGGGATGAGGAGGGGTGTAATAAGCTGTGAGACAGAATAACAAGAGGTTTTGAAGGGATAACCCGACCAGTAAAGCAGGTTGAATATATACATTGCCACCATCTATTGGGCAATGGCGAAGGGTTCCTCCATCGGTTCTACATGACCATCGTAGGGAAGCCCGATTGTAAAAATGATGTTTCTACAAACTTGAGGAAATCTGAATCCGTAGTCGGGTCAACAGTGACCTTGACGTCTCGTGTCGAAGTAGAAGCGGTGAGGGGGACGACTGCAGCAGCGTTCACACGACCATTCCCAGTTCCAGGTCGTGCCGCAGTGCTTTGCGACGGCGGCGTTGTCGTTGCTCCGTTATGCGATTCTGGGCTTACAGTCGTCGGATTTTCTAATTCTGGCATGCTAGGTGGATCTGATTCTGAATAGTAGTCGTTCCAGTTGAAAAAGTCGATACCACCGCCATCAAACAGGCCATCCCCATCGTTTGTTACAGAAATTTGGGTTTCTGTGGTCATTAGTGTTGGTGCGGAGGATGTTGAAGCCGGGTTGGACACTAGCTGAGTGATCCAGTCGATGAATTGGGTTTGCGAAGACAGTCCTGCATCACTTTCTTCAACCTTCTTGAACGACTCTGCCAGTAGTGCGTTGGCATCCTCTTCTGTTTTGATTGTAGAGCGATCAACAGGGGCACTAAGCACCGAAGGTGGTGTAGGCACTTTGATAGGGACCGGGGGGTTGACCGGTTCAGTCTTTGGTCGCTTCAGTTGGGGCGCTTCAGATTGCGATGCTGGTGTTTCAGCTTCGTCTAATGGGCGTTTGTGACTAGTCGTTGCAACAGGCGTAGGAGTCGTCACGGGTTCTGGAACAGGAGTAGGAGTATCACCAGCTTTTGACGGCTTTCGGGGCTTGGGCATCTTGCGAACGGGTTTACCCTTGGGAGGACTGGCTGGTGTTGCGGGTGAGGTGTGGGCGGCTGCAGAGGTGGAGGCTGGTGGTGTAGCGAGATTGGCGGGTTTAATTTCACTCGAAGGCTCGGAGATTCCAAATCTTCGAGGGCGCTGCGGTGGTACCATACTTGTTTGTGCTGGGGTACTAGCAGAAGGTGTAGGAGTAGGTACACTCGCGGCGGGTGTTGGCATGGACGCCTGATGAGGTGTGCTGGCATGGCTTTGTGCGTGGTGATAATGGAGCCGGACCTCAAGTGCCTTGGAACATCCCTGGCGGGCAAAATCCTGGCTTGAATTCCCAGACCCCCATGCCAGGTCAGCAAGTGATGAATCCAGCACAAAACCGTGTTGGAGCGAATCCTCCCGGTTACAATCTGGGCGGGGGTAATC